GAACTCCAAGGAGAGCTGCTTTATACGAACAGACTGCCTGCTAGCCTCTTACCACCACTTCCTCTTGTTTTCTGCATTGTTTAATTTTTAATCTCACCAGTATCAATTCAAGATTTGAAGTATCAATCTCACTGAAAAATCTCATCTCAGCACATCAGAGGTAGAAGCAATAGGAAGCAGCTTAAAAGAACAGCAGTGTGTTCAAACTAACTTGAGCAGCACAGAGCCTCTATTTATCTTAAAATAACTTTGCAGAAATTTCCAAATCCAAGAAGGTTAAGAATGCCATAGAAAGACTTCTTATTTAGACTCAAAAGAACTTGAAGGAATCAATTTTTCCAACATGCCTTGTTTAGCAGATAAGCAATCACAGGTCTGGAGAAGTTAAATGGCCAAATGTCAAAGAGCAAACAACCTGCAGCCCTGGACAAGGGTCCTGGTTTCCTGATCAATTTCTGTAAATTCTTAGCAAGTGCTTAGTGTTGTCCCAAGACACTAACATGTACACAAGATTTTTCCCTACGTGGTGTGATACAAAGTGTGAACTTTCCTTTAGCTGTTACTTAACTTCACGTCAACAAAATAACTCATGTACTATTTTAAGGCCTGCTTTTTCATGTCATATCAAAGCATAAGGATATTATAGACCTTTCATAATTATACTCTTTTAACAAGAGAAATCTTTACAAGTCAAATTATCATTTGACCAACAAAAAATCTAATCGACAGGAAGTTGTGTGGGGTTTTTGTTTGTTTGTTTGTTTTTTTCCTTTTTCTTTTATTATTCATATGTGCATACAAGGCTTTAAGAATATCTCCTGTCCCAATTAATCCTCCTCAAATTAGAAGGAAAAAAACTTATTTTGCCTCTCCCATGAGATATAACTCAGACACTGTATTCCTTGACATTGCAACATGCTTTTAAGGTTTAAGGCATTCCTCAGAAATTACTTATTCATCACAAAATATTCTTCCAAGTGGAATGGCTTCATCTTTCCAAGGATTTCTTTTTGTGTGATAGTCAAACACATTCAGAAACAATGTCATGGAGCCCTGTATTCCAAATCCCATGCTTAGATGAAGAAAAGGGATGCTGTCCTTGCAAATGAATTCCTAACAAAGTTTTCCAAATTTTATAGACCATTAAGAGAATGGTTGAGTCCAAAGCCAATGCTCAGGCTTATTTTTCTACTGAAAACTATAACTAGCAATTGCCAGGCAATAAAATGACAGCCTAAGCCCTGCTTCATTCTGCTTGAATAGGTGTTTGCTGTGGCCTGCTGTACCAAAGAGTACATCACCTCATCACAATCTGTTAGTTTCAAAGGCTTCAGTTTATAGCCCAAGGTTTAGTTAGTGCATAGCACAAAGACCCCATCTTAAGCATAAAAATAACAATTTTAAGTGCCACAAGAAAGAACAGTCCATTAGCTTATGAAATACACTGTTACACAGGAATGGAGCATATTGGTATGATGTACATTTACAGGTTAGGATTAGATTTCTCCTGTGTAAGGCTAGAATGGAAAACAATTATTTTTCCTATTGGAACAGTTTACGTGACTATTACTAATTGGAGAATATATGTGAAACAATACATGAGAAAGCATGCAAACCTATTCATATTTATAATGACTAAAATAAAGCCATGGGAAAGAATGAGAAAGAACAAGTTTTAGATCTCATCTGTTCCTCTTGACCAATGGTATTAAGAACAATTGTCTCCAAGAGACAGTTCCTACAACAGGCTGATATGTCCCAAGCTTTTGCCTATGACTAGCACAAAGCAAGCTTCTTTGTCACATTCCTACTATTTTAATAATTCCTACCAAAAACAAAGCAAAAATAAAAACAAAATGCTAGCCAAGCACTGTTAGTAGGAATAAGGGCTCCTTGACTCTAGAAATAAAAGCAATCTGCTAACTTATCATAATTCTGTCTTCTTTTGGTCCTGCATTTTAAGTTAGAATTCCATTCATCAAAGCCCCAGAGCAAGCCAATTAATTTGCACATACTTTTCTTGAATAAGTAGTGCACTCTGATTAGTGTTACATTTGTAAATGTAAATCATTTTCTGGATAAAGCAGAGAGTTGAGAATTAAATAAACAAATATGCATTGCTTGGAGAAGGTCACTCCCAAAAAGTGAAAAACAAAATTGTAGATCAAGGCTCCAGCAAAAACATTTAATCAAGAATTTCTAAGGAAGCATTTTACAGCACCAAAACATTCAGAAAGCCAGCAAGCTACATATTTTCCCAGAATTAGTTGAAAATCCTTTCTAAACATGTCCCATTGAAAGCTGGGGTCTCTTCTACTTGAAGTAGACTGCTATTTAACTTCCAATCTGGAGTTAATGTTTTTCAGAAGGGCAAACCATCACCCTTCTGAAATCTTTTCTCATTCATCTTTCTGTACTTCTTTTTAATGAATTTGTGGATTCAGGACTCAGTAGAGATCCTAGTGCTTCTGGAGAATGTGGCATCTCTCACATCTCCACACTGCTATGGATCGTGAGACAGTGTCTCACTTGCCAAACTGTCTTTCTGACAAAGTGAGTAAAGCAGCTTGCCAGAGGGAGGCTTTCATTTTGGCTATTACCTCTTTATAGACAAATGTCAAAATAGAAGAAGAACCTCAGCATTATTTTGGGGATATAAACATTAGGATAATAATTAGCTCTCTTGGGCATTGAATTTTTGTTTTTAATTTTCTTACTTTCAAAATATCAAGTTCTAAATTTTAAAGCATTTGGTGATCTAGTATTATCCCAAGTGCCTAGTAGTCTTCGGGCAGAATTTTTCTTATCCCTAAGAAATGCAACTACTATTCAGTAACAACCCATCCCCTCTTCAAATTATTATTATTCAAACTTGAGCAGTCAAAAAAAATCATTGCATAATAAGAGATAAAAACATGGAAATAGGATTGGGTGAGTCTGGTTCCTTTCCTTTAGGAATGAGTCTCAACGTATCTTCTCTGTGTCCTCAAATGCATTTCACAGATACATTTGTATATTATCATTGATAAGAGGGAAATGGCACAGTGCTCTGTCAGTGCATTTTCTGAGTCATCTAGCCCAGATTTCTCCATTATGAATTTTCCTGAAAAATGTTTTTTGCATATTAGCAGCATTCAGAGGCCCTTATCCAGAATCCTTTTATCAACTCTTTAATGTTGTTAACTACCAAACTAAAATTTTGAAAGTGGTCTTTCCATGTGCTTTAAAATGGATTCATTCTTGGCTCTGAACCAAATTCTGTGAACATGTGCACTTCCCAATGACTGTAACCTGAGTATTTTATTTAAACTGTCCTTTGAATCTACAGTAATTTGGTGTCAGGGGAACAGGATCTTTATCAACAAAGGGCTGCCAGAACCCCCAACTGCTTCTTGAGTAGCTATATTACATGAATAATGTTACAACCAACCGTGCATTTCAGTTTTTGCTCAAAAGGCTTTTCAGCTAATGCTGGTAGTATTCCATATCCATGTGTTCATCTCTCAGTGCACTGGTTTCCATCTGACTTTCATTACTTTTCTTGAGAGGATTGGTTTTACAACTGGATCAGAAAAGCAGTCAAAGTAATTGCAAGTGGCAATCAGTGAAATATAACAATTTTAGCTTGGAAACATATGTTCCATTATAAAGAAAAAAGTTATTTTCCCATAATTCTAGTATTTTCCCAGAGTTGTGGGACTATGGAAAAGATCCAGTGCTTCCTTCTATAACACACTGATGTCCTTAAATGCTTTGTTCCCCTCTAGGGATAGGCAATTCATCATCTTCCAGGAAACCTCATCTCTTTTTTTATTCTGATTTGAAAATGTTTCTTTGTATTGGAAATGAAATGTCTCTTTCTGTAGTTGCATCCTTCAGGATTGAAAGTGTGGCTCTCATCAAAGTAAATCTCAGCCTCTGCAGATATTCTTGAGCACCTCTCTTTCCCAACTCCTAACTTTTCCTTTGCTTCTATAATATGTATTCTTTTCTCATATGGAATAGATCTGTTTTCCTTAATCATCCTGATCACTATCCTTGGAGAAGCGCAATTTGCTTATCTATCTTTTAAAAGTATTATGCTAAAGGAAAACTAGACTTTACGTCAGAATATCTGAAGAAAAGTTCATCTCTGGTATTTACTAAATGTTGGAACTGGGCAAGTTATGCCTTTTTGTCAGGAGTTTAACAGACAGCAAATAAAAGAGGCATGGGGTAAGGGTTGAAAAAGACAATCAGTAAAGTAAGCAACAATAAAGTATAGTGTTATAGCCTAAGACAGTATAAAAAGGGATATCAGGGGGTCTTAGGTGCTCAGGACAGGTTGGAGTGGAGGCTGGGTATTTTATGATGGAAAGGAGACAGGATGTGTTCTAGGATGTAGGTGGTGTAAAGGTTGGAGAGCACTGTTCTCTAACAAATGAAGCAGGTCTGTGTTTAGAGTATAGAAGGTTACTAAGAATGAGTCTAGAGAAGTTCTGGGCTTTGTAAGCAATGTTGATTTTGGATTTTATTTGAAGTATGAGAGAAAGCTATTCGGTTTGAAGAGGTTACAATCTCTGAAATATATTTTTTAAAATTGTTCTCATGCTAAATGGAGAACAGACTGGAGAGGACAAAAGTAGAAGTTAATCAGTGAGGTAGGAGATAATTTTCATAATTCAAAGAGAGGCTGTTGTTCTACTTATAACAGCCCTATGAGGTATAAGGAGAAGTGATTCTCCCCAGAGTTAAGATACAGACAAGAGCAAATAGACTGCCTAGGGTTAAGCCCAACTTTACCAATTTAGGCAACTTCACTAAGTTTGTTTTTAACCTCTCTGAACCTATGAGAGGTTCATTCACCTTGTCATATTACAAAGATGTGACACCTTGAATATTGCATTTTTTAACATGATGGTACTGATAGGACCTGTTTTAATCTTGCTTAAAACCCAAACTTCAATACAATAGGACTCCCCTCACATAATACAGTAAACTGGGATAGTCTTGCCATTAAGTTCTAGTCAGGCTGATTCCTTTTGTGACCTGTCCGTTTAATCAAATAACGCTCCTTTGTTTTATAGGCATCCCAGGAAGTGACTATGTGAATGCCAACTACATAGATGGATATAGAAAACAAAATGCCTACATTGCAACACAGGGATCTCTTCCTGAGACCTTTGGGGACTTTTGGAGAATGATGTGGGAGCAACGGAGTGCCACTGTTGTCATGATGACAAAACTAGAAGAAAGATCCAGGGTAAGAGCAAGTATCCAGTTTTAAAAATTTCCCCTCACCATCTTTGTGTTGCTTATTTATTCTGCTCAGAAGCTCATATTTCCCTAAGGTTTAATTCTTTTGACAATTCATGAAAGGGCATCAAAAACTCTGATCAAACCATTACTTAGAACTCTTATGGGGAGGTCAGGCATGGTGGTACATGCCTGTAAAACCAGCTACATGGGAGGCAGAAATTGAGAGAATTACAGTTTAAGGCCAGTCTGAGCAAAAGATTAGCAAGACCCCCATCTCAGCCAATAAACTTAACATGATAGTACATGTCTATAACTCCAGCTATGGCTAAAGACATAGGAAGAAAGATTTTGATCTGAGGCTGATCATGGGCAAAAATGCAAGACCCTCTCTGTAAAACAGGTAAAACAGGAAAAGGATGGAGATGTGGCCCATGTGGTAGAGCATCTGCCTAGCAAGCACGAGGCCCTGAGTTTAAACCCCAGTGCCACCAAAAGAAAAAAAAAACTCTTCTGGGAAAGGCCTGGAGTAGTGGCACAAGCCTATAATTCCAGGACCCAAGAGGCTGAGTGAGGGGCATAATGAGACACTAAAAATTGTGGATTATGTGAGGATAGTTGTGATTGCTAAAAGGAAAATAAAAGTAGCATTCAAGGTCATGGACAACTTGGTTAGCAGAAATAAATATTAGCTTGAACCTCTTTCTAAAACTCACATTGAACAATAATCTGCAGGCTTTAGGAAGAATCCCACCAATATATACTTCCCAGACGTTCAACTTTTTCTTCCTCACAGTCTATAGTATGAGATCTAAAACTCTGTGAAAAGGCCCTTACTTAAATTATTCAAATTAGCGTAAATTAATTCAGGGCAACCAGAAAAACTTTTGGCTTAACACAAGCCTGAAAAACCACCTAAATGTGTAGAGAGCATTGGGCTAGTTGAGACCTATGAGTAGATTTCAGTAACAAGTCATTGGACCTTAACAAGGGTCCAGGAACAGGAGTTGTATTTATCATATGGGCCCAATATTATGGCACATAGCACATTAGTTAAACGTTACAGATTTGGAAAACTAAAACATAATGGGTAAGCAATGTGATATATTTCCCACTGCTTGAGAAAATTTTGTGGTCATCTGATGAAAATCTATCTTTATCTTTGAGAAGTTAACCAAGGGGCCTTTGAAAACAGCATTTAATTTTATGAAATGGTGGGAATATTCAAAGAGGTCTCTTTCACTGTGGTCACAATATCTCAAAAAGGATACTTAGAAGGAAGCCAAGCCCAATTCCATACTTACTGTGACAGCTGAGATTCCTGAAGTGTTCTAAGCTCAACACATGGCCTGTCCCTTTGCCCAGGTGTGTCTATGAGAGAAATGTTAAAGGCTTCCTAGAGGATTTATAAGGGAAAAGCTAACAGACAGGAAAATATTAAAAAGCAGCAACTGCTACCTTAAAGTTGGGAAATCAAATGGTGTGGAACGCAGCTGGTGCAGCAAACCTAAAAAGCACTGAAATCTTTTAAAATATCTGAATTTCATAAAGACGCTGAAATGTTGTCTAAAATGAACTTCTATAAAAATGCCTATGATTTCATACTTTATATACAAACCTCAATTTGAGGATAGAAATGGATCTATTATTGGTTTTTACTCAGAGTTACCCTTGTATAGCAGGCAGTTTCTTTAAAAACAATTGGCAACCCAAATGATCATTGTATGTGAGTTAATAGTCATAAAAATATCTGACACATATTAAGTGCATTGATATTTCACTAAAACCCAGTGAGATAAATGCTACTATGATCTCCAGTTTATATACAAATAAACTAAGGCCCAGAAAAGTTACTAAAGGTCACCCAAGGTTATTTAGCTACCAAGGTCAGAGATAGAAATTGAAGGCAGACAGTCTGGCTCCAGAACACAGGTGCATCCCCGTCAGGCCATACTGCCAGGTAACACTCCTGTGAAGCTGAGACAGCTGAACTGTTATATTATGGCCTGCATGTAAATTCAACCTACCCGGTCAGCACTGCCTGAAGATAACAGCTAGTAACAAGCAGTCATTTGCAAAAGCTGTTTTCAGTAAAACACACATTTTATCTTGACACTGCAGGCTTTCATTAAACTGCACAGAAACTTGTTTTGAAATAACTAAATGAAATTCTGCCCCCTTTTCTCCCTAATTGCTTCTAATAATAAAGTTAGTTCTAACTGGCCACACTGCCACTGTGACATCTGTGGTAATGAACAGTTCTCAGTGGAAGGCATTGTGACTTAAATACCTGCAGTTTATCTTTCGGTTGCAGGCTACCTTCTCCCACCCCCCCTGCCCCCCCACACAGAAGAACTTATTGGAAGTTACTAAATGAACCTTTGTTTGCTCCCTTCATTAATTACTCTTTGCTCCTGCAAGTTAGCTTTCTCCTTTGTTAAATGGCCTAAGGAGACCAATTAAAATGCTGTCTTGTGATTTTTATTCTGTGGTAGTTCAGCCTGTACCCTAACTTGCAATGACCTGCATAAACCAGTAGGCAGTTAGGGAGTCTTAGTCATCATCAATCTGACAATGCAAATGTTTTGAACCCACCCCAAAGCCCTTTCTTCTCCATTCTAGAACACTTGGGAAGAATACCTAAATACCATGGGCAGATTTAACAAAACACTGATGCATCAAATTACCTCATCTTCTCTTACATCTTCTTCCCTCACATCCGCCTTCCTACCTCATCCTCTCCCTATCCAGTTGCTGTTTTTTACTTGAAGAAACAGGAAGAAAGAGCGAAGCATTTCTGGATTCTCACACAAGAACTTGGATGGAATTTCACTATAAAAACAATACTATAAATAATGGTTAGTTGTGACTGAAATCTATAGCTCCATACTTTAGGAATGTTGTGGGTTGTGTGGGCTGACCTAAGGACTGAAGTGAATTCTCAATTCCCGGCAGCCACTTTCAAAGTAGACATTGGAACTAGCCTGGCTCTGTAGTGTCCCTTGTAAAGAGAGGTGGTCCAGGTAGTTTAAACAAATCATTTCCCCAAGGCTGAAATTTCATTATTTAGCTTAAGGCTCAGGTTCTCAAAATAATATTCATCCCCATGGTATATCAAAATTGTGTACTGATATATCAACACTTGTATGAATTAGAAGCATGCAAGGATACCTGTTGACTATGATAAAGAAAGAAGAAAAAGAAAGGGCAAGTAGCATATTAATAGCATGAAATTACTATGATGGACACTGCCTCAGAGGGAATCCACACTATCAGGAACCTGACATAGTTCCAAGTGGGAGTGCTTTGCAATCAAATGTCTTGGCACTGATCTCAACTCTACAACACTGAGCATATTACCTGACCCCTCAAAATCTCATTTCTCCTTTTGAATGACATGGAAACACTAAAGTGGGTATTGACTGAGATAAGGGATGTGGCAAGGTGGCCCCATAGTCCCAACTACTGTTTGGTTAATAGATTGTTGGGCCAGGCACCTGTGGCTCATGCCTGTTATCATAGATACTTGGGAGGCTGAGATTGGGAGGACTGTAGTTGGAAGCCAGCCTGGCCAAATAGTTCCAAGACCCCTTCTCCAAAATGACCAGAGCAAAACGGACTGGAGGTGAGGCTCAATCAGTAGAGCACCTACTTTGTAAGCACGAAGCTCTGAGTTCAAACCCCAGTCCCACCAAAAAAAATATATAAAGAGGTTGTCAGTTTTACCATTACAAGTTCTGTTTCCCCAAAAGCTGGCCTCTAAATAATTCAGTTTGGTTTTTTCCTCACTTGAAATGAATTTGTGTCTCTGTGGTTTCTGTTCCCAAATCCTGACCAAACTCACAGAATAACTACACATGGTAAATGCTGTCCACTGTTCCCAGTGTAGCACACCCATGAATTTTGGTCAAGAAGAAAGTGGAGCTCAGACCACAGAGTTCTCTTGTACTTGCTTTCCCCCAGGATAAAATCTCCAAAATGCAGATCCTGGCACAGAAAACTTGTTAATCCGTTTGCGCATAGACCAAACTAGGACATTCTGGCTGCTACTTCCACTGCAACCCTGTCTTAAAACAATACAATATGAAAATCACAAGTAATACAGATTCAGGTTACTTGTCATGATAATTGTCACTAAACATAATATATTCTTGTCAGCATGTTTCCTTTTGGTTCAGTTGTGCATTCCCTCTGTACTCCCCTTTCTTGTTTATGATGCTAGAGAATTCTTCCCATAGAACTAGTCTCTATTTCAAGCTTTCTGTCTTCTCTTGGCCTTCTTCGCTCTCACCTGGGCCTGAGTTTTATCAGCAGTGCTTGTAACCTTCTACTGAGTTAGGAAGTTCAGCAAAAGTTTCTGGTTTCAAGAGCAAATGCTAGAAATTTCACTGGCTTCTTGCTAGAGAACTGACAGTTCTCAGCATTTGAATGACTAAAGAAATGTGATTTAGGGTTCACTTTTGTCTTTAAAAGCTCAAGTTCTTTGATTTTCAAATGCGGTCACTTTCCCTCAACTGTGGCCTTGAAAGAATCCTTCACTTAACTGAGATAATTTGCATGGTATATACATTGAGTTATCAACCCTGAAAAGGAAAGTATAAGTTGAATAATTCATATGAGTTTCATTACAGAATAGAAAGGAACAAAATAAAAAACAAACCTAAAAGCAGGAGATTCTGAAGGCAAAGTATGATTGCTGCCTGAGACACATAGATCAGTTTAAAGCCATTGTAGAATGTGCTGTGTGATATAAGATACTGCTAGTGGGTTTCATTCCACAGTTTCCATCGGGATTGCCAAATCCTCTCAAGTTCTGCGTAGTTCATTGATTCTGTAGCAAGTCATTCCCAATGCCCTAGAATGTGGTCTCTAATTGCTTCCATGTTTCATAACATGCCAATAAGCACATGAATTGGTTTGGGCAACCACATGGAGGGAAGAAAATGTTTGGAAAAAATGAAGCACTGGTAGGAGAGTAAAATGTATACAGCTGGGATTTCCACTCCA